AAAGAAGAAAAAAAATCAGGAAAACTAACCAAGAATTATCTTCTTATAGTGGGTTTAGGTTTTTTTTTTTTGACTAGGCAGGTTAAGTGTTAAGTCAGTAGGTTAAGTGACTTGCCCAGGGTCATACAGCTAGTAAGCATCTAGTGTCTGAGGCCAGATTTGAACTCAGATCCTCCTCACTCCAGGGCCGGTGCTCTATCCACTGTGCCACCTAGCTGCCCCCTATAGCCTTTCTTATGGTACAGTAATATTCCATTATAGCCCTGTACCATGATTTGTTTAGCCATCCACCAATTTGTGATTATCACTCCTTACCTCCTTTTCTTCCTTTTCTTTCCTTTTATCTCCTCTCTTTTCGTCTCTCTCTCCCCCACCTTCCTTCTTTTCCTTTTCTTCTTCTCATCCTCCTTCCCTTCCCTTCTTTCCCTCTCTTCTTCTTTTATCAGATCTGAGATTTCATCCATGTAAGCATTTACAGTATCATCTACTACTAGTCGTATTGGGGCCTTCTCTAAGACTTTAGTCTTACAGAATTGTCTTCTTTTATGTTCACTTTTTTTTTTTCATTTTTGTGAGGCAGTCAGGGTTAAGTGACTTGCCCAGGGTCATACAGCTAGTAAGTGTCAAGTATCTGAGGCCAGATTTGAACTCAGGTCCTCCTGACTCCTAGGCTGGAGCACTATCCACTGTGCCACTTCGCTGCCCTGTTGATGTAGGGTTTTTTTTTTTTTATGTGAGGCAGTTGGGGTTAAGTGACTTGCTCAGAGTCACACAGCTAGTGAGTGTTATGTATTTGAGGCCGGATTTGAACTCAGGTTCTCCTGACTCCAGGGCCAATGCTCTATCTACTGCGCCACCTAGATGCCCCAGAATTGCCCTCTTTTGGTGATTCTTATAATGCAGTAATTTTCCATTACTATCCTATACCATGATTTGCTTAGCCAACTCCAAATTTACTATATCTACTTTGTTTATAGTTCTTTACTACCATAAAAGGTGCTGCTATGAATATTTTGGTGTGGAGAGGTGCTTTCAAAATGCCTTTGCCTGCATTGCCTAGTAGGCCAGCCTATGGATGGCCCTGTTCCTTGGTTGGGCCCAGGTAGTAGAAGGTAGATTGGATTCAGTACCTCCTAAAGTGTATGGATTGTCATTACTTCTGGAAAGACTGTGCCATTCTACTCCCTAATGGCTCCACTGACTATTCCTATACCTTTCCAAACTGAAATATCCCTCCTCACCACCATTCTCCTATATGTGTTATCTCCTTGTTGGAATATAAGCTTCTTCAGGGCCAGGACTAATGCTTAGCCAGGTGCCTGATGCTTGAAATTTATTAATGAATAAATGCTTGTTCATTCATTCCCCATTCTCTATCTGATCAACAAAAGTGATTATTTACAAAAAGAACAAAACTTCCAAAGAGCTTGCTCCTTAGCCTTGAAGCAGTAAGTGAACGATCTGTGAGTAAGTAGACATTTTCCCTCCTCTCTGCTCCATAGGGAGGGAAAGGAAAAGAGTGTGTCTTGGAGGTTTGTGTGACTCATGTCATAGCCTGCCATGTTTTTTGCATACTTGTTATTTGTCTATCCTCACTTATTTCTCTACGTCCACCATGGCTGATTGGTCTCCATCTCAGCAAACAATACTGGAGTGTGATCTGCCCTGAATACCTAGTTGTACATGGCCTCTTCCTACAGCCCTGCTCTTCTCTTATGGCCTCCTGGCACCTTCTTTCCCTTTATTTAAGCCTTTATAAGCTTAGTGTCGGGAAGTTGGTGAATTCTGGATAAATTCTTCCAAGTCACTACTCCTCATTAGCAGAACCAAAAGGCAGTTCATAGCACTGAATACAGTACTCCAGATGTGATATGGTCTCATCAGGGTAAAGTATGATGGTCCTCATCATTCTAAACACTGTGCTTCTCTTAATGGATCCCAGTAGTGAGTTGGCTATTTTGACCATGACACAAATAAGACAGTAAATACACAACCTAGAACTTGAGATGTACATTAGAAAAGTTTATAAATCTGGGTGAAGCCTGAACTACGAGAGATAATTTTTGACTAAGGCATCAGGGGAAGGCTTCAAGGGGAAGGTGGCATTTGAGAAAGGTCTTGTTGGGTAGAATTTTTTTTTAAAGTTGTAGAGAAGAGAGGAAGGGCATACACGTGTAGGGAATGGTTAATGAAGAGAAGAAAATGTAAGAAACAATATAGAGCATGCCAAGAAGATTGTTGGAGTACTGAGTTAGTGGGAAATGTTTTGAAATATGACTGGAAAGGTGGGGTGGTAGCAGATTATAGATGACCTTGAATGTCATACTAAGAATTTGGGATTTTATTCTGTAAGTAATAGGAAGTGATTGAACCAGAGAAATGGAATGACTAGATCATACTATGTATGGGAATGATGGTAGAATAGGATATCAAGATAAAGATAGGCATTGGGGTTTCAATAAGTAGTATGCTTCTAGAGAAAGTTGGTAGCTTTGAGACTAGAGGTGACCAGATTACAAAACTTAAGCTTGATACTTGGTCTGAAGAGGGGAGATCTTTCCATAAGACCCTTTTTTCATATTATATTATATTTAAAAAAAATTTTTATTCATTTGGAACTTAAATAAAAAAGATCCCCCCCAAAAAAGAACATTTCCATGTACACAGCACAATATAAAGAGGGTTCAGTAGAAGACTATGAATTTCTGTTTCACACTGTTTACTTTTTTTTTAAACTATGTAATAAATACTACATATCATTTTCAGAACTGCCCTGAGTTTTCTTTTGTTCTCAGCTGTGTACTGTTTTTTCTCCCTCTCTCCCATTCCCACCCTAGAGAAGACTACCATTAGATACAAGTGTGTGTGTGTGTGTGTGTGTGTGTGTGTGTGTGTGTGTGTGTGTGTGTATAAATCCATACTATACAGACTTCTGTTTATCAGTTCTTTCTCTGGATGTGGATAGCATCTTCCTTCATAGGTCCTTTGTAGTTGATTTGAGTATTTATAATACTCAAAATGACTAGTCATTCAAAGTGTTCTTAGAATAATATTGCTGTTACTATGTGTAGTGTTCTTGTGGTTCTGCTCATTTCACTCTTCGTTATTTCATGTGCAGGTTTTTCCATGTTTTTCTAAAACCAACCAGCTCATTATAGCACAGTAATATTATACCATAATCATATACCACAATTTGTTTAGCCATTCCTCAATTGATAGGCATTCCCTCAATTTCTAGTTCTTTACCACCACAAAGTGAACTACTACAAATATTTTAGAACATATAGATTCTTTGCCTTTTTTCCTCATCACCTTGGGAAACAGACCTAATAGTGGAATACACAGTTTTATAACTTTTGGGGAATAATTCCAGACTGCCCTCCAAAATGGTTGGATCAGTTCACAGTTCCACTGGTAGTGAATTAATGTCCCAGTTTTTCCATATTCTCTCCAACATTTGTCCCCTTCTATCATTTTGGCCAGTCTAATGGGCATAAGATGATATCTCAAAGGTGTTTTAATTTGCATTTCTCTAATCAATAATGATTTAGAGAATTTTTTGTATGACTATATATAGTTTTGATTTCCTCATCAAAAAGCTGCCTATTCATATCCTTTGACTATCAGTTGGTGAATGAGTTGTATTCTTATAACTTTGAAAAAGTTCTTTATATATTTGAGATATGAAACCTTTATCTGAGAAACTCTGTAAAAATTTCTCTCATTTTTCTGTTTTCTGTCTAATCTTGGCTATTAGAATAATTTGAGAATGAGCAGTCTAGGGACAGTCCTTAAATTTTAATTATCTAATTCCACTTTATCTGGAGTTTTGGATAGTATAAAGTGTTCTATTTTTCTTTTTAAAAAATGTTTTCTCCTTTTTAAAATTATGAACTTTACAAACATTAAAAACAATAAAGATCTTCATGTATACAGGACAAGAAAAGACAATTGTGTGTATGAAATTGAATTTCCATTATGCACAGCTTTTTTTTTTATGAAAAGTATGCGTTAAATTTAACATCATAGTACCAGAATTACTCAATCTGTGTCCTCTTCTGAATGTTCTTCTGCTTTCCTTGATTATTGCAATCTCTTTAGTTTTGTTGACATTCTTTTCTTTCTTTTCTTCTCTTTTTGACCTCACTATCACTCTTCCCTAAATTGACGTATTCCCCCCCATCAAAAAAAAAAGCCCTCCTTATTTGTTAAGTAAGTATAGGCAGGCAAAACAAATTCACACATTAGTCATGTCTGAAAGCCTACATCTCATGGTGTTGCTCTCGTATAAAGTATATATGTTTTTAAGTCTTTCCAAATTGTTTCCCTTTACAGTATTGTAGCCCCCCTATAAATTGTTCTCCTGGTTCTGCTCTAAAGTCCCCTCTCTTTCCAATATATTATCATTATTTATTTGTTTGTTTGTTTTTTAGGCAGTGGGGTTAAGTGACTTGCCCAGAGTCATACAACTAGTGCGTGTTATATGTCTGAGGCCGGATTTGAACGCAGGTCCTCCTGAATTCAGGGCCGGCGCTCTATCCACTGCGCCACCTAGCGGCCCCTTATTATCATTATTTAAATTCAGAATTGAACCAGTATTTTGAGTTTTTCTTTCAGCGTTTGGAGTAATCAGATTGTCATTTAAGAGCACTAGAAATATATTGAGTCATATGATAATACGCTCAAAGAATCATAGGTTTAGACCTGGAAGGGACTTTTGAGGCCATCAAGTCTGATCTCATTTTAAAGCTAAAGAAACTGAGGCCTGTAGGTTAAGTGACTTGAATAAGGTCACCAAAGTGGTAAGCATCAGAGGTAGCATTTGATCCCAGTCTTCTGATAACAGAGTAAGTATTGTGTGACTAATTACTCGTATTTATAGAATCTTTTCTTGATTTTATTATTTCTTATATTACAATGTGAAGTTAATGTTTTATGGATCACTAATAATAATTAAATGGATTAAGCTGAAATTAATTTAACCTTTTTAATGTTTTCAGATTTCAAGTTCTACCTACAAATATAGAAATGAAGAATTTAAAAGACAATTCTCCCATCTTCCTGAATCAGAGAGGCTAGTAGTTGATAAGAAGAGAAAAAGTTCCTGAAAAACTGTGTCTTTACTGATGTTGCCGAAACAGAACTGATGGATAAGAATATAAATAGATAATTTTAGCTTTTTGCTAGACCACAAATATTTTTCAGGATAAGTAGAATCCTGATAGTTTGAGACACTCTGAATCTGAATAAGAATGTAGGTTGAAGTATTTTGTGAATTTTAAAAAATGTTAAATATTAATTAGAAAGGTATTCCAGAGAAAAATGATCAGGTATGATTTTACATTCTTATTCATTTCATATTGTTTTGGAGAAAGAATTTAAACTTGATATCCGACATACAGTTTATTTTTCCCTAAGAGAGGACTCCTTAGTAACATATGTGTTAGCAGTGATTTCTTTAAAAAAATATTTTTAGGGCAGCTAGGTGGTGCAGTGGATAGAGTTCCAGCCTTGGAGTCAGGAAGACCTGAGTTCAAATGTGACCTCAGACACATAACACTTTCTAGCTGTGTGACCCTGGGCAAGTCACTTCACTCCAATTGCCTTACCAGAAAGGCAAAAAACAAAAACGAAGTTTTTATTACTAACTTTATGACAAACTCCCTGTATATAGGTAAAAAAAATTATATATGAAACCATGAATGTCTATTAGTTTATTTTAAATGTTTAGCTAAAGTTAACAAGGTAGTAAACACCTTTCTGAACTTTTATTGATATTCTTTTCTTTTTTGGAGGAGTAAGGAGAGATGGGATATTTGTCACTTCCTACTAATTCATCCTGTCATGTTCCCCCATAGAAACCTTCCCTACAAGAAATAGGTGTGGTCAGGCAAAGCAAATGAATACATTATCCGTGTCTGAAAAGCTTTGTCAAATTTATAAGAATACAAGTCATTCCCCAATTGATAAGTTACTGATGTTATTATCAGACTTTTAAAAAAAATTATCCTTAGCTACTTTCTTTTGTTTCCGTTTTCATTACTTCACCAGCTGTTTATTTCACTTCTTTTATGCAATGATCATGTGTCACATGTGTCATAGTGTCAAGGCACATCCTTTTAGTTGTTGATGGGGTCGAAGATCTGGAGTGGCAAAGACAGAGCAGTAGAAATGCAAAAGAAGCATCTCACACCTTAGAAAGAGTCTGATTCGGGAAGAAGAGCTTGACTGAATAAGAAATGGTCAGCCAGACAATAAACTTGTTCCTGGGTATAGACTGCTTCATACCTTTGTTCCTAGTCCTTTTTGCTACAGAAGAAACAGAAGCAATCTGGGGTCATCATCATAAGTAAAGTTGGGGTTCCTTACTGAAGGAAGCCACCTCTTAACCATAAAGAGCTGTCAGACAGGAAAGGCCAGACCTCTTCTACCTCTTGCCTGGATGTGGCCAACCTCACGCCCTAAGGGAATAAAAGAGGATTGACTTTGGCCCGTTCTAGGCCTTAAGAGTTGCTATGCTAGTGCCCAAGGGTGGTGAAACACTGTGACTGCCCGGTGAAGAACCCAGAGTCCTGTGGATGGATAGGGAGGCCACACAGCCTAGCCACATGCGCAGCCTGGAAGGGGCTCCTCTTCTTCTGAAAATTTTGCTATACCCTGCGAGGAACATAGTGAGGAGTGGAGAAAGAAAGGCCCTGCTGTTCCATTTGTGAATTTTGTACTCCCTTCACGTGCTATGTACTATGAGTTCATTCCCACCCCTGGGCTCTGTGTCTGTTTGTGGGGGAGCGTGCTCCAGGTTTGAGGAGAAATGCTGTTGGTAGTAGCAACTACTGTTCTTGTGAGGCTGTTTGAGTAAATAAATACCTTTGTTGGTACTAAGAGAATAGAAAAAGCTCCCCCTCTAGGGACCCAGGGCAGGCTAGAGAGCAAGAAAGGAGGTATTTGTGTTTGTCATTGCTCACTTATTGGGCTGTTGTCTCAACTCTGTAATGTGCATACTAAATAGATGTTCTTAAAATTAAATACATGTAGCTGCATGTACGGCCTTTGTAAAGATAAAGTGAGAAAATGTATATAGACCACTTATGGTGTGTATACCCATTTAAAGGGCATATAAATATCAACTGATATCATATGACATATCAAAAAGTGGTGAGACTTCAAAACTCCTGCATGCAAAATCAGTATTGTTATCTGAATTAGTCACCTTGGGAGAGGAGATATTTATTTTACTGATACTGCAATTGCTTAAAATACTTCTGGAGTGCCTGTTGTGGAATTGTCTTCAAAGCCAGAAGCATATTCTTTTAAATATGCAGAATGACTGAGTGATGGCAAATCATCGTCTTATATGGATGAATTTTATTTTTTTTAAACAGCCAGAAGTCTTTTGGAGCTAAGTCTGGGGAATACAGTGTATCACCAAGCTGAATAGGGCTATTTTTGGTTAAAACAAGGTATGGTTAAAAAGTTATAACACTTTAAAAATATGTGGCTTCTAGGTCATATCTGAAGGTTATTTTAAAAGAGGAAACAAAAAATATTTTGTGCAGTGATACTAACTTCATTAGAATAAGTTTTCCAAAGTGATTACTACCTTAGTTATGCTGATGATAGCTGATACACATGCACACAGTGCTTTTAATTGTTTTACATGCATCATCTCATTTGATCCTCATGATAATCTGATGATTTAGAGATGTTAAGTAACTTGCCCATGGTCACTCAGCTCATTGAGTGCTTGAGGTAGGATTCCAACACAGTTCTTCTTTATTTCAAATCCAGCACTCTATCCATTACACCATTTGTATAATACATTTTGGTATTTTTGTTTATAAATAGTGTCATTACTTTATAATCACAACTCAGATTGCTGCACTAAAGTTGTTCAGTGAACAGCTTATACAATTTGTATATAAATGTATAGCTTATTTAATTTGTCCCTTCACATATTTAGGGGGCTCAAAGTAAAAGACATCCATATCCACATATATGTAGTGGGAAAATGAAGATCAGTGTCGTGAAAAATATAAAGCCATAAATGCCACAGGTCTCTGACTGCACCTGGAAAAGATAGTATCTTCTTCAGTCCTAGATGGAAGGAAAGCCAAAGTGCCATAAGAGAGATAAGAAAAGAAGTAAGCGTGAATGGTGGTGGTTAAGGGTTGGGGGAGGGTGGAAGCCGCCAGGAACTTTGTGCTATGGTGAGAACAGAGATGGCACCTGGAGGCAAGGTTGCTGCTGCTGGCTTTCTTGCTACCACTTCCTCACCCAGGGCCCAGTTGAAATTATGTAACATAAAGTAACAGTGGACCCAATCAGAATGGTTTTTGTGAAAGGATAACTCTTTACCTTTTCACAGGATAATCCCCTATTCCCAGAATACTCTCTTCCTTTTCACCTCTCCCTCTTAGAAGCCTTTACTTCCTTCAAGAGTCATCTCAAGTGTCATATCTTTCAAGAGGCCTTTCCTGATCACCCCACCCCCATCGACAGATGTAGGTGTCTCTCCTAATTACTGTGCTTATTTTGTGTTTTTACTTTATTTACTTCTCTGTGAGACAGTGTGGTACAGAGAAAAGAGCACTTGGGAGATAGCAGTCCTGGGTTCAAATCCATTCCCTGCTACTTACTTGGTGACTTTGGACAAGTTCACTTAACATCTCTGGGTCTCTTTTCCTCTTATGTAAAAGGAGGGTGTTGAACTACATGACCTCTAGGATCCTTTCTGGGTCTAAATCTGTGTTTGTATTTGTGTCTCCTAGATGTAGCATAGTTCCTTGAATAGGCCTGTGATAAATTCTTGTTGATTGATTAAAACAGCTTTTCAAAAACCTGTTGATAATCATGTTGGAAACTGACCATTCAGGAGAAAGGGATATTGGATTTTAATCTGTTGCATCCAATGGACAGTTCCTTCAGTAACTTCTAATATTTATCATTTTGACTTTTATAAATGTTTATTATGAAAAGCCTTTAAAACTATGAAATGTATAAATCAGTCATTTATTTGATATACAGCCTTTTTTTAGTGCTTCTTTGACGAATCAAATGATTTTGACATTAATTTCATAGAGAAAAGTAGAAATAATTATTTAATTTCATTAGGCAATCTGTTATTAAAGCGACTTAGCAGGTGGGATCTCTCTGGTTCTTAAATGTTGTGCTTATTTTGTTATATATTTGTCTTTTGAGGCAAGAGTGTAAGAATTGAGAATGAATTGTTTGCTGGAATGGATAAGAGAAAGTCTTTGAAACAAAATAATGCAACATTAAGGTCTTGGGTAAATCCTGATTCGTATGCTTGGGTAAGTAGTCACTCAGTGCCCTGCATACAGTAAACACTCAAGAAATATTTGTTCTGTTGACTTATTATCCAATATCTGACACAGGGTGTTTTAGCTGTAGCCATTTACAAAACCATTGACCAGCACTTTGAGAATGCCTGTCTGAAAAAGTTATCAACCAAAATCATGTTGTTTAAATAAATACTTTGAGAATTCTGAATAATGTAAACTAAATTAATGAAAAGTTTCGGTGTTTTGGATTAAAATTTCAGGGAGCTTCTTGTGGCCATCAATCTGATTCATCATAGAAAAGTAGTTATGCATGCTAAGTGAGTAATCTGTCTGCTTCATTATTTCACAAGACTATTTTTGCTTGAGGATTTGAGCAGCATTCCTCTTGCAATCCATTTTGCTGTCAAAATCAGTATGAATAATAAATTTATTTTTCTTTCTAATATGTAGACTGCTTGATTATATACAGATTTCAAAGTATTTAGTCAGAAATTTAAAATAATTTGATTTTTTATTTCTAGGTACTTTTGGATTTGTACAGCTGCTTTTTAACAACATCTTTTTTACACTTCAGAATTCAGTGGTTTAAATAAGATTGCTCATATTGACCCATTATTCTGTCGTTATAGATAATCCAGGAATTAATTCTCATATTGTGAAAAAAGAAAAATCTGAGATTTTAAAATAAAAAGATTTTTTGAGATCATTGATTTGTTTGTTATTTCTTTGGGAGGCATGGTAAGATTCTTGTTGGGTGTGTAAGCTGTTCATTGCTATTCACCCCAGATTCTTTGGCTGTTTGTGCAAAGGTGGAGGTTTAACTCTGCTGATTTTTCTATAGCTTTGAAATTAGAGATTTTTTTTACTTCAGCAAGTAGAAGTGGACTTTGTATTTTGAAATAGCATACATCTTTTCCAAATTACTGCTAGATTTTTGGATCAACTCTTTCCCTGTCTTTGTGTATTCAGATTATGCCTGTGCTCTTCAGAAGGACATTCTGCTTCAGGGACGCCTGTACCTTTCAGAAAACTGGCTCTGTTTCCATAGCAACATCTTTAGATGGGAAACCACAGTAAGACATATTCTGATTTCAATGTGTTAAAACAATTATCTGAGAAATCTCTTTGGTATCGTAATTTCAAATAGCAAATGAGAAGGTTATTGGTCACCTAGGCGGTACAATATTTGCTCACTATACTAATCATGTTAAATCTTATTATTTAAAACCATGCCAGGCCTCTTATTGCTTGTCTCAATTTTGAGAAGGTTTTCACCAAAACATATATCATCCCTTGTATTCTTTATTTCATTCCAACGTCACAGAAAAAATCTTTAGAGTTTTATAGATTCTTGTCAGCTGAAAATGAAGGGACAACAGAATCTCTTATATCAAATATGTTAAGGGGATGGAATAAGCTATATTTGATGGAAGAGAGTCTGAGAGGTGATTTATTTTATTTCCCTATGTTTAGGCACATCCACAGAAGTCGACATTGATCATTGATAGCCACTATCTGGAATTGACTCCAGCCCAGTGTGGACCCACTTAGCAGTTATGTGGTCTAGGTCATATTTTCTGTTTTTTCCCTAAATTTATTTCTCAGTTTACAAGACCTAATCAAAGCCTTGATCAATTCAAGATAAATTTTGTAAACCAGTTTTGAGGATTAAGCCTAAGTTTTATAACTTTCAACCGGAAAATATCATTAAAAGGTGCCTTGAGCCACATCAGAAATGTAACACTAACCTAATCATTACAGTATCATAGTTTCTATGTCTAAAGATGTTTTTGGTTAGTACCAACATTATTTTAGTGATAGACTATTCAAGGGAAATAAGATAGGTAATCGATAGAAATGTATAGAATGTAGGAGAATTTCCCCTATAATATTCTTTAGGTTATAAAGTATTTTGGAAAGGAAAGATACATTTGGCCTGTAGAAATGTTTATTTGTGTATACTCGAGCATGCATGCAGTTATAAAGACTAGCCATTATGTTTCTTTAACATTTTGGGGCTTTTTTTTAACTTGATTTTTTTCAGCTCAATTTGCATATTTAGTTAAGATCTGATAGTTGAAATAAGCTTAGTGCATTTTTCCTGATGGCATTGCCAAAAAGATGTCTTTGGTAGACTACTGTTGATTTGCATGTTTGTATATTAATTCAGGATATAAATATCCACATCTTTTTATATGTTGTCTGATGTCAGAAATAGAGATCTGGTTAGGAGGAGAGATATTTGAAAGGATGCTTAATTGTCTCTGTTTTTCTCAGAGAATAATATCTGCTTATTAATGCTTTGAAAGTTTATTTTCCTTAAATATTGACCATTAGGCTAATGTTAAGCTAAAATTTTAGTATGTGTATTTTGTTTTAGAATACATTTTAATGTCTTAAATTTTTTTTGTGTTTTTAGATTTCCATTGCCTTGAAGGACATAACCTTTATGACCAAGGAGAAGACTGCTCAACTTATTCCAAATGCCATTCAGATTATTACAGAGAGTGAAAAGGTATAGAAACCTATGCAAATTTTTGTGCTCATTCCCTCCTTTACTCTCCTCCCCCTTTGAAAGAGTTATTTATGAATTTATAAACCAGCTGGTTTCAGCTGATACTGATTTCTCTGACTTTAGGCTTATTAGTTAATTAAATAGTTCCTAACTAATGTTGACAATTAAGAGAATTGTATGCTGTTGGAATAGGAGGAGGGCCCAGACTTGTGGTTTCATTGGTGTGAGGAACTTCTAGTAAGGAAACTCCATCTAATACCAGTGCACAGCTGTTTTGTGGCTTATAGTCTTAGAAATTTGCCTGGGGTGCTGGGAAGATGAGCTGAGGGTCACGTAGCTAAGGATGTTCTAGAGAGGGGTCTTGAACCCAGGTTTTCCTGGCAAAGTGCTTAATAAGTAAGTATATTACAGTCTGAAAATAAATATTTCCTGAGATATTCATGTTACTGGCCTTATAGTTTAGACAGGCAGCCTAGCATAGCAAATAGAGAACCAGCCTCAGAGGCAGGAAGACCTGGGTTTAAGCTCTACCTCTGAAACAGCCTGCTGTGTGACCTAAGGTAAATCACTTAAAATCTCAGTGAGCCAGGCAATTCTCTAAGACTAGAAGTTGCAGAGAAGGTGCAGATATTCATTGCTAGAGGGAGTTTCTTTCATGGAAATCCCTCATACCAATAAAATCATAGGTCTAGTTTCTTCTCATACTTTTGTGATCTTTTTTCTTGTTATTTCCTAAATATTAAAAGCAATGCACAATTTGCTTTGGATTTTCATAGGAACATACCAGTCATAAAGATCTTAAGAGCCCATCTAGTCTGACTCTTTCATTGTGAAGAAACTGAGGTCCAGATGACTCGGACTCATTACCTATACTGGTCCCATGTTAGGGAGCCTTCCTTTCTCCTGCCTTAACCCACCAGTGGATGGCAAACCAGTAACACCTGCTGCCACTTAGGGAAGCCACAGATTAATGCCTACCCCAAATAGCCCTCATTGCCCCACTGCCCAGGCAGGAATCACTCATTGTGAGTTCTGTGCTCATCTCCAGATTCATACCTCTGCTGCAGATATTCCAGAGCTTCACTCTACTCTAAACCTTGAACACACTATCTTTATGGAAGGGGACCATCAACCCTGCCATTGACCTCTAAGATGTTCTAGGCCTTGCCATCTGCCATGCCACTTGCCCAGCCTAAATACCACCCCACTTTTCCAGCCGCCATGAAACGTACATAAACACGAGCTTTTCTGTATTTATTACCTCCCCTCCCCCCCTTTTAGAATATGCATTCCTTGAATGTAGAGGTTGTCTTTATTTTCATTTTCTATTTTCATGGCTTTAGCTCAGTGCTTGGCACACTTAGATAATTAGATTAGCTAGGCTTTTCCATTCCATTAAGTGACTTGCCCAAGGTTCTATGGATGGTAAAGGAAAGATTCAGGATTTAAACTGAGGCCGTCTAAGGCAGAGTCTCAATTCAGAGTAATTCATATTCAGGTACAAGATAGACTAGATAGTCTCTGAGTTTCCTTCTAGCTCTTAGAGTATGTGATTCTATGACTGTGTGATGTTTAAGGTAGTGTGAGGCAAAGGAAAGCATACCAGTTTTGGGCCAGTGAGTCCAAAGTCTAATCCTAGATCTTTTCCTTACTACCTGTTGAGCAAATTAATTAAACTCACTGGGCCTCCATTTATCTATTTGCAAAATGAAGTAGTTAGACTAGATGGTCTCTAAGTAGAATGAAGTGATTAGACTAGATGGTTTCACTTCTAGCTCTAAATCTTTGCTTCTATAAACCCTAGTGCATAGAGAACTGAGTGGCAGACAAGGTAACGTAACACCATTGCCGCTGTTATTTTTGTAATTATTTTTAAATTGTGGCTTTTATTCATCTGAACTTCTTGCCATTTCTCAGTAAAGAATATGGGAGTTTGATTTTGTGGCCCAAGTGCTGTTCTTTCCTGTTTGCTAGGTTTGCTGCCAGGAATGGTCCTAAGGAGCCAGATAGGGGTGGTATATCTTAAAAAGTAATAAGGTAGAGACCAAGATCAAGAAAGCTCCTTGATAGAGAACACCATGGGTTAAACAGTTCAACCTCCTGTTATACTTTTTTTTTGTATTAGTTCTATTTATTCTTCATGCAAATATTTTACAATTTTATTTAAAATCTTTTTTTTACAAAATCATATACACATATTTATATAAAGAAAAATAAAATTCTAGGATAGAAGCTAGAGAGCAAGGTGGTTTAAAAAACAAAGAAAATTAAGATTTCCTTTTTCTGATCATTAAGTAACGACAGAAGGGCTTTAACCTTCATTTCAGGGAGTAGGGGTTGTCACCTTGCCCAAAGGGTAGCACAGGTATTAGAGGTTACCTTGAGCTTTCCTGACTTTACCATATATAACAATGGCAGGGGTAGGGAGAAGTAAGTAGATTGCTACTCTTCTCCCCATTCCCACTGAAGTGAGAAAATGGAAATCCTGTTATATTTATTAACTTTATTCATCATTAGGAAGAAGGAATCCAGAATTATTAAATTATTGTTATTATTGTTATTTTTACTACTCTGCCGTTGAGGAAAGGCTGACTGTCTTTTCTGGGTTTATACAACTTAGGACCCAATTCATCTTCAACTCTTTCCCAATGGAAGAAGGTAATTGTTTGACCAAATGTTTTAGTGGACTGTTAGAAGTCACTTGACTGAGATTAGTTCCATAAAAGTTAATCATTTTTCCAAATGAGGGAGTGGATGGGAGGAGACTTGTTATCAGTTAATGTTTCTTCTTTTCTTTTTTTTAAAATTTTTTATTAATTTATTTTGATTTATCAACAATCACATAAGCTTTTGAGTTTTAAATTCTTCTCCCCCCCCACCTCCCTCCCCAAGACTGCACAATCTGATATAGGCTATACATATACATTCCTGTTAAACATTTTTTCACATTAGTAATGTTGTAAGAAAGAAAATGTTTCCTCTTTTCAAGTGGAAGGGTAACAGGACTTATTAATGTTTCCTCTTTTTCAAGAAGGGAAGCAGGACTCTCTGGGAGGAAATCATCTTGAATTTATTCTCCCTCATCTCTCTCTCCCAACATCCTATTCTTTTTTTTTCTTTTTAAAAAAATTTTATTAATTTATTTTGATTTATCAATTATCACTTCCATATGCTTTTGAATTTAAAATTTTTCTCTCCTTTCCTCCCCACCACCTTCCCCAAGACGGCACGCAATCTGATATAGGCTATACATTTACATTCCTATTAAACATATTTTCACATTAGTGATTCAACATCCTTTTCTTAAAGGCTCTGTTGCTCTTTCATCTAGGGAATCTTCCCTAATTCCCCCCACACATGTTAGTGATCACACCATCCTCCAATTATCTGTATTCTGCCCCTTCTCTCCATCCCTCCCCTTCCCCATAGGCATTGTGAGCAGGGACTATTTGGTTTCTGGCTTTGTGTCTCCATGTCTAGCACAGATTAGGTACTCAATCAATGTTGGCTGAATTAAATTGAATGGGGATAGGGGTCAGCTTGAGGTATTGATGGGAGCAGTACATGTTTAGTCCTGAGGCTAAAAACTGTTAAAGAGAGAATTTGAAGTGCTATTAGGAGGCTAGATAGGAGAGTTTAGATGGGCTCACAAGTCTTAGTAATCTATCAGCAACCCTGGAATATGGATTTAAAATTATTGTTAGAAAACAAGGCAGTTACCTGTGCTAAGAAAAAAGGTAGTGTTAGCACATTACTATTATTTCCTATGTTATATAACCTAAATTATTTCCAGCCCATTTAGACAGGGTGCTATAGGTGGTGTGTGAATAGTGTTAGAACAGGATTCTGGCTTAGTTTGAGAATTATTGTTTGAGAATTTTGAGTAAAAGTATTTTACAAAACCGTGGTATTATTATTTTGACAGAGGCAAACTAGGGTGAGGCAGTTGGGTAAAGGGTGTAGATATCTGGGGAACGTGTTGGTTGAGAGACTGCTATACCAAAAGACCTCTTTCCCCCAAATTCTTGCAGAGACATGGGCCAGATTCCTGCCTTCACCCTGAATGTGACTATCCAACGGTGGGGAACTTATGTCCTCAAGGCCACATGTGGCCCCTAGGTCCTCAGATGTGATCCGTTGACTGAATTCAAACTTAGCAGAACAAATCCCCTTAATAAAAGGATTTGTTTTATAAAACTTGGACTCAGTCAAAAGGCCACACCCAAGGATTAGAAAGCCACACATGGCCTCAAGGCCACAGGTTCTCCATCCCTGGTACCCTTGGGCACACCGTCCTACATGTCTGAACTACTGCCTCCTGCTCAGTTGTTTTGCCCTAGGTAAATAATTATTAGTGGATTTTGACATTTCATTTGACATACGAAGAGTTGAACAGGGCAGAAAAACTGAATTCTCTTACTCTTCAATATGGTTTCCCTGTTAATGAGAAATGAAGCCATTGATCATGTAACGTAGGAGGAATTCATACTTCCTGTTATATACACATAAATGAAGTATTGTATTTCTTGTGCTGCCATCTGTCACTTTATAACTATGCCTGTTAAAAATATTGCTTAGCAAATAATAATTGAATTCAAAGGAAAATTATTACTAGATGCAATCACATATTAAAATATGTCCTAAGCGAGTGAAATGCCACTTTTGTTTTATGCCACTAAAGTTGAAAGTCTAGCTTCAGGTTAGTGTGTAAAGTTTCACATCTATAATTGGTGGAAGTAATAGGTATCTGAGGATATGGTGTGTAAGAAGTCATATGGTTTAATGTAGACAAATTACAAAATTTTGATCTCTAAATAAAGTTTCCTCTGAGAATATATTTTTTGTTGTTTTTGTTTTATTCTGTGGTCATACTAGGCCTATAAGCCAGCTATAAAATAGAAAAATATTGCAAGTTTTTCCCAATTCTACTTTTGTTAAAATGAGGATAAATACAAAGTATGTATCTATTCCTTTCTTAATAAAACATAAAATCATGTTTATAATAGGAATTGAACTTAAGAAAAACTACTAAATGAACTATTTGAAAAGATGCTTTTTTCTTCCACAATCTTTACATGCAAACTCTTTACTTTTAATACATTAAGTTATATAAATAAGATATACAATGAGCAGTGATGAGTCCTAGTAATAATATCCTTAGATCAAAGGAAGTCCCAATATACTTTTGTGGAAGAGATACTTTCCTTTTGTTTTCTTTGATACTGAAATTGTCCTATTATTTTCCATGCAGTTTTTCTTTACGTCCTTTGGTGCCAGAGATAGAAGTTACCTCAGTATCTTTAGATTGTGGCAGAATGTATTACTAGAGAAGGTAAGATTTCAGGTGGATGGTGATTACCAACCTTTTGGTTTTTAAATGGAGAGTGTTAGAACTGAAGAGATTTGTCTGATTTGCGTGCTGACCTGACACCCAAAGGTTAGGAAATCTTCAAACAAACTCAGTAAAATGCAATAAACTTAATTAAAGCACTCTGGAACACTGAATTATAAATGCTATAGATTAGTGATTTTATTCTAATATTTATAAAGAATGTAAGTTTCAAATATTATGCCCATGATTACAGACAGATCATGATTAATGAAACTTCAGTTTGCCTCAATAATCACCTCTTTGCATGAGAATATTCTGGATACAAAAAGGTAGGATTATAAGAAATGATTGTATAGCCACGTATTTGCATTTTTTAATATGATAAAAACATTTATAGGAGGGATTTTTTAGAAAAAAAAATCAACTTCCCCGATATGTGTAAGGTATATTAAAAATTTAATGTTTCATTTCTTGTCTTCGTTATGTTTATGGTATAAAATGTGTAATGAGAATTGATGTTCAGAATGACCTTAAGACACTGCAAGATCTTTAGTCATCAAAGAAAGATTGAATCATACTCAATATATTCTATTTTCTAAAACAGGAAAGTATACTATGCACATTGAAATCAAAAGAACGAAAAAAAAAAAACACCAGAGAATTCATTTAATCAATATCCTTCGTTCCCTGTGTATTCTGTGCCTTTCATACTAGCCTATCCCATGTTCCCCAGCAGATCGCCCTCTCCAATGATCTCTCCTCTCTGTCTAAACTTCCTCTCCCTGTCTACTGGTTCCTAGCCTGTTGCTTTCAGACCTACCTAGCTCTCCCCTGTCCTTAAATAACCTTGACTAGGCCCTACCATTCCCTCAAGCTTTGTCCTCCTTTTATCATCCATACCCTGAGAAAAAGCTGTTTACTTTTGTTGCCTCTGTTTCTTTTTCTCTCATTCCTCAATCCGTTATAGTTCGGCCTCTGACCTCATTATTCAACTGAAGCCACTCTCTCCAAAGTTATGAATGGTTTCTTAATTGTCAAATCTGATGATCTTCTCTTAGTGCTCATCCTTCTTGACTTCTCTTCTGCATTTGATACGCTTAAACGTGCTGTCCCCTGGAATAATCTACTCTTTCTAGGGTTTTGTGATACTTCATTTTCCCTATTTCCTCCTACCTATGTGACTATCTTTCTCAGCTGTCTTTGCTGGTCTCTCATCCAGTAGGTGACCTACAGGGTTCTGTATTAGACTCTCTTCTTTTTTTCTTCTGTACTTCATCAGCTCTCATGGGTTTAACTATCATCTTAGTGTGGCTTTCTCAAAGACTTATGTATGTATGTACATATGTGTATAAATGGGCAGCAACATGGAGCAGTGGATAGAGCACCAGGCAGACTCATCTTCATGAGTTCAAATTTGGCCTCAGCTACTTACTAACTGTATGACCCTGGGCAAGTCACTTAACCTGGTTTGCCTCAGTTTCCTGGTCTGTAAAATGAACTAGAGAGGGAAATGGCAAACCACTCTAATATCTTTGCCAAGAAAACCTCAAATGAGGTCACAAAGAGTCAGACAAGACTGAAAACGACTGAACAACAAAAATAAAATATGTATAAATACTTATCTCCACACACATACACATAGATATATGTTCATGAGTATGTATATGTAGAGGATATAAATATATGTAGCCCTGTCTTTCTCCTTACTTTCAGTCTTGTATCTCTGACCAATTGTGAATCTCAAAATGCATGTCCTAGAGACATCTCAAATGTATCATGTCTGTAACAGAACTCTATCATTCTCTCCAAGCAGTCATCTTCCAAACTTTCCTATTTCTTTCAAAGCTCATTCTTCAGGTTTTTAACCTTGGCTTTATTTTTGGCTCTTTACTGCCTTGCACTCTGAAATATCCAGTCACTTCCAGTATCATGCCTTTTAGTTTTTTTCTCTTTTCTCCCTTTTGAAAATTTGACTTTTTTCATTTAACAAATCTTTTCCCTTCCCGTCTCCTTCCCCTTCCCCATTAACTCCCTATTGAAGAAAAAAGAAAAAAAAACCCTTGTAACAGATATACATAATCAAACAAAACTAATTCCAACAGTGACTGTTAATACACACACACACACACACACACACACACACACACACACACACACACACACACACACACACACACACACACACATGCACAGAGTGGATAGAGCTCTGGCCTTGGGGTCAGGAGGACCTGAGTTCAAATCTGGCCTCAGATACTTGACACTTACTAACTGTGTGACCCTGGGCAAGTCACTTAATCCCGATTGCCTCACTCAAAAAAAATATATATATATATGTATACCCATTATGCATTTTAAATGCATTTTTCTTCCTATCTCTTCCTCTTGGGTTTTGTTGCTAACACTTAGAAATGCTGATGATAATTATGTGGATTTATTTTATATCCTACAACTTTGCTGGAGTTATCATTTCAACTAATTTCCAGTTCTGTAAACCATAATATCAGCTACAAAAATGATAATTTTGTTTCCTTCCTATAACTATTACCTCAGTCCTTTCTCTTGTCTTATTGCTACAGTTAGTATTTCTAGCACTGTATCAAGTAATAGTGGTAATAATGGACACCTTTGCTTTACTCCTGATCTTATTGGAAAGGACCAGAGGTGTGTTGAAGTGTGAGCGTTCACTGCCTCAGAAATCAGCAATCTTTGCAAAACAGGATTTAATTTATTGTTTTGCCAATTGTCTAGACTTAAGAAAAGTGTTAATAAGGAAGATTAAACTTAAAAGTATATCCTGATTTTTGGAGAGCCAGTTGGTAAATATTTACGAGCATACTGCTCTGTAAAGGCTTCTAGTTTATACTCATTACATGTAATACTGGCCTTTGGTTTTTGATAGATCCACTTGTCATGTTAAAGAAAGATCCCTTTATTCCCATGTTTTCTCATGTTTAGAAGGAGTAGCTGTTGTATTTTGTCAAAAACGTTTCCTGCATCTTTTGATATAATCATAGGATTTTTGTTGTTCTTATTAATATAGTCTGTTATGTTGATGGGCAGCTAGGTGGTGTAGTGGATAGAGAGCTGGGCCTGAAGTCAGGAAGACTCATCCTCCTGAGTTCAAATCTGGCCTCAGACACTTACTAGCTTGTATGACCCTGGGTGAGTCCCTTAACCCTGTTTGCTTCCATTTCTTCATCTGTAAAATGAGCTGGAGAAGGAAATGGGAAACCACTCCAGTATCTTTGCCAAGAAAACTCCAAATGGGCTCACGAAGAGTTGGATGTGACTGAAACAACTGAACAATAACAACAAATAATATTGATGGTTTTTAATAATATTGAACCAACCCTGCAGTCCTGGTATAATGCCAACCTGACCATAGTGACCTGTCATTTTTGCTTCTACAAGATCTCTCTCTTCTGTCCTTTTCTCTCTGCTTACCAAAATATTTTTGTTAGGCCCTTATTCCCTGTCACCAAGTAGTGACTATTGCACTGCCTCCTAATTGGTCTACCCTCTCATCTCTCATTCCAATCTGGCCTCTATCCTGCTGCCAAAGTGATTTTCCTTACACTCCGATTTAACCATGTCAGTTCTGTCCTTGGTATACTCCAGTGGATACCCTATTGCTGCTGTGATCAAATATAAACTTTTTTCTTTGGCTTTTAAAGCCCTTCAAGACCTGGCCCCAACCTGTCTTTTTAGCCTCATTTTACGTTACCACCATCCTCCTAGTCATCCAGGCTTGCAACCTTAATGTCATCCCTGACTCCTTGCTGTGTCTCTCCCCTTCAGGTGACATCTCTTGTATATACCTCCTTCTCTAATACTGCCTTTGTATTGGTGCAGGCCTTTATCATCTCACACCTGGATTGTAGGTATCCCTGCCACGAATCTCTCCCCAGTAGAATCCAACCTCCATGTAGGTGTCAAAGTGATCTTCCTAAAGCTGGGTCTTAACAGGTCATTGCACCCCCCTCCTAACCACACCTCCCTCCTAACCACCTCCTCCCCGAACTCAATAAACTCCATTGGCTTCGTATCATCTCTAGATAGAGCCAATTTACTACAAATGAACTGGGCTCTCTTTATTTTCTAGCTCCTCTAAACTGAGAATGTGATTTCTAATAATATATTAATTGTACCAAAGGTGAAAAAGTACATATTCAATGGAAATCATTAAGGTGGAATTTGAACCATATTAGATAAGGCACAATTGCTTGTTTATACATCTTTTTACTTTTATGTTGACATACTAATTTTAAAATGTGATCCAGATTCTATTCTACCATCCTCTCCCTTTAAAAAACAAAAACAATGTATGAATTATAATTAATAAATTGAAAGTGTCAGAAGAGAATCTCTGTGATTATCACTTGTAGATCCACTTTTTAAAAAAATGTAAAATGAAGGTTTTAAATAAAGTTAAAATGAATGAAGATTGTAATTGTGTGTATGCATATGCTTGTGAATTACCAGTGCTCGGGATTCCTCATATGGAAACTGTCACCATTGATGTAGATCTTCATATTGTCTAACTTGTCACTAGTGGTGGTGCAATGGATAGAGCACTGGCCCTGGAGTCAGGAGGACCTGAGTTCAAATCCAGTGCCTCAGACACTTACTAGTCACATAACTCCAATTGCCTCTAAAGTAAAAAGAATGTTTCTTGGGGTACTGAATGTAGCCCTCTATCCATTATTCTGTGTTGCCTCAAACCATAAAACATATGAGACTTAGGGGCGGCTAGGTGGCTCAGTGGGTAGAATACCGACCTTGGAGTCAGGAGGACCTGAGTTCAAATTTGGTCTCAGACACTTGACACTTACTAGCTGAGTGACCCTGGGCAAGTCACTTGACTTGATTGCCTCATCAAAAAGGAAAAAAAAATATATGAGACTTGTGAAAACAGAAAGAACTGATGCCGTTTTTGCAAGGTGCAGAATTCCTGACTGACATGATCTTTTTATTTGTTTAAGCATTATCAAGCACTTTAATTGCTGCCCTGGATGGTCTGTTTTCTTACTGTCTCCTGACATTCGATTTACAGTTACTCAAGGCTGAGGTAGGAGTAAAAAGGGATTCATACAGAATTTTGGTGACAACTTTGGCAGTTAGCACTGAAGTAGTACGTAGTAGTAGGTAACATAGTATATTTTGGGAAATAATTGGATGTTTTCGTCTGGTTTGAATGAAAATGTTAGGGAGGAGAGCTATGATTTACATGGCACAATCCAGAAGATTAAAAACTGAATCTTTATATTTCTTAATTCCAAAAATTAATTTAAAATCATATTAGAATAAATATTGTACATTGAGTGAAAGCAAGGTATTTGCACCTGTATAAACTAGTAGTTTAATTCAACTGAAGAAAATAGGAACTGTGTCTTTAAAAAATAACCCTGTTTACCTGTCCCTCTTTTAGTAGGAGTGGCTTAGGAACCAGTTGTGTGAGGTGTAACTTCCAATTCAGTGTACCAGCTACCTTGCAGAGAAAGCTGATCCTACAGTCTAGGAAGTTAGAAATAGATAAGCTTTGGGCCCCATTAGGACTTGTCTTTTATGAACAAAAGCATCTCATGACAAAATAAGGAGACTGAAAATAGCAAATTCATACTTGCCATCAAGTATTTGGAGCCCTGTGTGATAACTGAAGTGTTTTGTGACGTATTTGGAATACAAAGCTTCCTAGCCGAAAATTGATCTTCTGACTTTTGAAACTTATCTGGTAACTTCGTGCCTCATCGTTAAACAACCCTCTGGGTGAAACATTGAGACTGTCCTTTGCTTAAAGGTAGATGCTTTATTTTATTTGCAAATGTGAATTTTTTCTAAGGTTGTATTTCTAAGGTTCTGTTAATTCTAGATAAAAATATCACTTCTGTTACTGTCTGTTTAACTATTTAGGAAATTCATACTAGTAATGTAATTGAAGTTTGAATTTGGAGATGGATTGTAAATAATTAGGTGGTGTGTGACTTCTGGACAACTTCATAGAAAAATTTGCATTTTTGATGGAACAGGACATTTGAAATTAAAGGCGTCTTAGAGTCCAAAGCTTGTAAGGAATATTCTAAACTGACCCCCCCCTTTTTTTTTTAAAGAGGAAGAAATTAAAGCCTGTGGATGTTAGTGATTTTTCTGAGATCATATAACAACTTTTCAATGGCAGATCCACAATTTGAACCCAAGTCCAAATATGAAAATACAGGTTGGACTTATATTTAATTATGTGATAGAACATTGGAATTGTAGTCAGAGGCCTTAGTTTAGTTTAAATCCCATTTTCACTACTTACTACCTGTATGAACTTGGGAGTGTTTAGGAGAGACTACTTTTCTTGGTCTGTAAAATTTGGACCGGATGATTTCCAAGGCCCACTTTACAACTAAACCAGAGGTTATTTGTGTCATAGTCCCTTTTGGTAATCTAAGGGAGCATATGGATGGACCTCTTTTCAAAATTATGTTTTTAAATGTATAAAATAAACGACACAAGCCCCACATTAAGAACTCCTGCTCTAAATCCTCTGCTTCTCTGCCTCTAAATCCAGTGCTCTTTCCATTAGCTAAAAGTGAACACAGCTTATACACATTCTGTTGGCTTAAAAAAAAAAGACTTAAGATATTTGTACAAAAACCCCGTAGTCAAACATTCATTTTCTGTTAGCATAGACGTTGAAATATGTATGTTTACGTTTCCATTGTTGTTTCTATGAAGTAATACTTTTAGTATGAATATTCTAGTTCTAGTATAAGTTTCAGTTCACTTATTTTAATGAGTATTTCTAAATTTTATTTATTGATTTGTCCACTTGCCTGTCTTTGTTTCATTTTGAAGCTTTACATCTCAGAAAGTGCTGTTATAAGTTAGCCTTCTTGAACTATACAGAGATAAAGCTCGTTTTTATATTTCGTCAACAGCCCTTTTGACTGTTGTAGCTGTGGTAATGTTTCAAGAAAAATATCTGGGGAGAATCAGCTTCCTATATAAATAAGAACTATAGGCTTATATAATGGAAGTATTGTCAGGAAAATTCCACAAATAGTTCTAATGGGTTGGAAGTTTGCATTCACCTGTGCTTGATTTTAGGAATGGAAGAGAAGCTTGGGTTAACTTGAAAAATTGAAAGTTTCATTTTTTGTAGAATAATCAGCAAAATACTTGACCTAGACCAGGCTGGGGTTATCAAATGCTTTGTCCTGAGTGTTTCAGTACCCCTGGGTGCCACTGAAGGGCCTAAGCTGGATGAAGGCAAAACATGACAATAAAAAGAAAGAAAAAAGGGAAAATAATGGAGGAAGAGAGAAGTATATTCTAGGGAATGGTATTCAAGGGATTTAAGGCCCTTTACAATCTGCTGCAATTTTATCTCCTATTATTTATTCTGCAGCAACAATTCCTCTTGCCCAGGTAGGCTGGTTTCTTCCCTATTCCCATTTCATTCCTGTCTAGCTGTCTTTTGCTAGCACTGTTCCCTCTCATTCTTTTTCTTCCTCTTCCCTTGGAAGGATCTCCCTCATTTTCCCTTTTCAAATCCTGCCCATTTTTTAGGCCCCTACTCCAATCCCATCTCTTCCACAAACTTCCTCTAGCCACCGTCTGGCACATGGGGATATTTTTCACTTAGTCCGTCTGCCTCATTTGGTACATAATCTAAGACTGCTTTGTGGTATTTGATTTTTTGAATATTTAAGCCTTTTATCCCTCATGAGATGACAAGCTCTTTGAAGTTAGGAAGCTTCATAGTGCAGTGAAAAAACCGATTTGAAAATGAGAGGTTTGATGTTAGAATACCTGCACTTCTGTTTACTTTTTTTGTGACATTCTGCAAATCATTGTCTCTCTCTGAGCCTCAGTTTACTCATCTGTAAAATGAGAACTAGATGATCTTGAAGGTTCCCTCTGACTATACATCTACTATCCTAGGAGAGATAATGCTTCATTGTATCCCTCATAGCGCTGTGTACATTGGTGCTCAATAAATACCTTTTGAATAAATGGATGAGTGACTGAACCTTGGCAACAGTGACGTGAAGTGCCTTGGATTGCCTACCCGGATCTAAACTTTTCTTAGTAGTTGTAAACAAGACTACTAACCAAATTGTAACGTCTGAAATGATGTCTGAAAGTCTGTCAGTATTTCTAGAATTCAGATCACCTGCCACATTAAGGCTCTATGAAGACATTTCTTCTCAAAGAAAATAATGAATGTAGGAGTTGTAAAGTGCTACATAAATGGCGGCATAATGATTGTGTTTTGCTGAGTAATATAGCAGTATCTTAATTTGCCATATTTAATAACTTGAGGCTACTAACCTATCTAGACATTTCAGTTATTTATTGATTCTTCGATAGTAAAGGAAAAGATGTCGAAGGGTAGAAATTGATAGTTTGTATTTCATGAATGTAATAATAAGCACATATTGTCAGGTTAAAGGAACCTTTCCTGTTAATGACAGAAACTTTTTTTTAGGGTAATGTATTTTGTAAACGGATTTATTTGGGTGTTTATTGGTAAAGTGTCTGTTGTGCCTGAACAAAATGTGTCAGTAAGTTTAAGTTAAAAAACAAATAATAATGTAAGTTCATATTTTTACAAGAAATAATTTTTAGTAGTAATAATGCAATGTCTTATTTTAAGTTTCAGTATACAGCCTGATTTTGCTGTCGTTTCAGAGCCTGACCAAACAGGAATTCTGGCAGTTGGTCCAGCAGAGCTATGGCACTGAGCTCGGTCTGAATGCTGAAGAGATGGAAAACTTGTCATTGTCACTCGAGAATAATGAGCATTCAAGGTACTTACCAACATTTTAAAATGTCTACAGGTCTTTACGTATTATAGCTAAACCTAATTAATTCGAATTCTACCAATTCAGAATGTGTGGTAATTTAGCATGTATTCTTGTGCAGGAATTGGAGATGGAGGATTAGGTGGGAAAGTATTTAATTTTATGCAGATTAACATGTAAAAAAAGTTAAGAAATACCTTTGTTACTCAACCATCAATTTAAGACCGGTAGTTTTAGTAAATAGTTAATGATCTTAGAAGAGAAAACACATAGTAAAATCTCCCAGCTTTGCAGATGACATTAAGATTTACAAATAGTGAAAAATTAAAACATGGAGAAGTGGAAGAGCTGACAAAATTCAGTAAGGGAGAATAAAAATGGCAATTGAGCTTCAGTGTGGACCACTGTAAAGTAACATAGTTAAGGAAAAGAAACTCAAACTATGGTGACAGAATGATGAGCTCTACTCTGTCACTTTCAATCCAGTAAAAGAATCTGGAAGTCAAAATAAACTGTTCCTCAGAAATGCTGGCCTAGTCTGTTTAGACAAGCTAAAAGGCCAGCAGAATGATGGGTATCATCAAGAACAATATTGGCAACAAAAAGCAAAAACTGTGTTGTATGTAATGCAATGGTGGATGTTGTAAATCAAGAGAGACATAGTTAGATAGGGGAGAATGAAAGGGACTTCCATCAGACATGGGAGTGTATATCAGTCTTGTGAAAAAGGTTCCCTCTGGGGCAGCTAGGTGGCGCAGTGGATAGAGTACTGGCCCTGAATTCAGGAGGACCTGAGTTCAAATCCAGCCTCAGACACATAACACTTAGTAGCTGTGTGACCCTGGGGAAGTCACTTAACCCCGTTGCCTAGCCAAAAAAAAAAAAAAGAAAAAGAAAAAGTTCCCCACCAGTCACCAGTGGGAAGTGGCACGGGCTTCCTACATGTATACTGAGCACTGTCTCTAGCTCCTGTAGGTCCTTGAGCTAAGGGGAGAATGTGCTAAAATTTTATAGAATCATAGAGAACATGATTTAGCTGAACATAGACTTATTTATTTCACTGCTGAGTATTACAGCAAAAAGTCATCCTTAGGAGCTTGAAATACATGGCTTTAACCAACGTGAGATATATATTAAGTAAGTATAGAGCTGTTACCTGACAGAGTGATAATTTTCTGCATATTAGAGGCAGCTAAGTGGTGCAGTGGATAGACCACTGGGTCTGGAGTCAAGAAGGCTTGAGTTCTAATCCAGGCTCAGACACTTACTAGCTGTATGACCTTGGGCAAGTCACTTACCCATTTTCCTTAATTTCTTCATATCTAAAATGAATCGGAGAAGGAAATAGCAAACCACTCCAGTGTCTTTGCCCATAAAACCCTAAATTGGGTCATGAACTGAAATGACTGAACAACAACATTGGTCTAGCTCAAATATCACCTCCTCTGCGAAGCTTGTTCGCTCATCTCCCCTTTGCACCAGCTAGAAATAATTTCTCACCTGTCTGAACTCTCTTAGTGCTGTTATGTATTTCTCTTATGTTATTTTTACATTCTGCTTTGTGTTATATTTGCTTTCATGCATGTCTTATTTTCCATACTATCATATAAGCTCCTTGTTGGCAGGCACTTTGCCTTATTCACATTTTTATCCTTCTCAGCACCCCCCATAGTTCCATGTACGTAGTAGATGCCCAACAATTTTTTTTTGGATAAGTGAATATTTAAAATATGTATTCCAGAAGGAGTTTGATAAACTTTTGGAGGACAGATGTTTATTAAGGGTTACTAGTGCTGTCTAGAGTTATATTGCTTTCATGTGAACCATTGGAGGATGACATCATGAATTGTGGTTTTATGCTACTATATAATATCACCTGCTTTCACAGGATATTGGGCTGTGTGGATCATGGGTCTGATGCAATATGGCCTTTCTATTGTTTAGCTTGCTAAATCATGATGCTGAAAGGGTAGGTTTAAGATACACATGAGACTGCTTCAGGGACATTTACCTGCCAATAATGGCTATTCTACAGATTTTTCTTTTGATTTGTTTTCTTCAGCAACAATACATTTTTTAAGGTACAAAGTTTTGTGCTTGGAATATGCTATAAGACATGATGAGCCTGGCACCTTTCTCACCAACCTTATCAGTAGTTTTATTACTTTTAAGTAATAAAGATATGTATTTCTTTTAAATGTTCAGACTTTTTTTTTATAAGTCAGTCATTTTCCCATATCAGAGCAAATCATAAGCTTTTAGTATATATCAGTATTATGATTGTTGTATAGATTATCTATAGCCTCAAATTAATAAAACAAATTCTAGCCCTTTGGCAGAGATTAGTATTCTTTGAAAAAGAATAAATTGATATCTTTAGAGCCAGAGTCAGTTTACATGAAACCCTGACCACCAGTGCTTGTGTGACCATCCTGTTCCTAGAGGGGCCTTGACATTGTCTTGTGGCCACAGTGACACAGTGATTCATACTTCTCCTACATACTTAGACCTTATAATGGGGAAAGAGTCTCATAGAAAATACTACTGTCCTCTGAAACAGGGAAATATGTTCTAAACACAGTTCATTTTTGAGTACTAGAATGTGCCAGATCCTGTCTTTCCTGAACTTTAAAGTGGGTGGCTAAAGCATCTGATATGTAGGGAACCTGGGAAGCTCCCTATCAAAATATTTTTCAGAAATTTTATTAATATTTTCTAATAATTCTTTCCTGATTTTATGATTGAGATATATATATAAATATATAAAAACATATATACATACATGTGTATACACACATACATACATATGTACACACACATATATGTAAACCAATTTCACATCCTTTTTCCCTACTAAGTATAGTGTATGTCAAGGAAGCTTACACAGTTAGACTTCTTTATACTGAGGAAATCACAAGCCCAATTTATTTTTTAAGAAGTCACATTTTTTTATTTCTTTATTCTAAGGGAGTTTGGCAACAGAAGTTAACACAGCTTTGAGCAAAGCAAGAGTTCCAGGGTCACTTAGAGCCCAAATTCTTTGGCCAGAGTAAGCTCAGAACAGTTAGAGGGACTTGTTCCATACTCTGCTGAGCTCTTAACTATGTGCCTCTCACCTCTTTTATAATTCTTTTATATGTGTATGTGTGTGTGTGTGTGTGTGTATCTATCTTATCTTTACCCTATGGAGGGAGGGCATCATATTCAAGCCCTAATGTCCTAGTATTATGAGCATTCAAAATCTTTGCCCAAATTTGACTCTTGAGGAAGGAGGTGATGAAGAAAGGGAATGTGAGCTCAGTGACTTTGTCCTGGGACTACAAGAAGGACTCTTCTTTTAATGGGCAACTGACAGCAGCCATTCTGACCTGGTCGAGGTTGTGAATAAGAACTTGAAATACTCCTTTGTTGCTGATTTTCTACCATATTATTTGCCAAACATAAGTTTAAAGCAAATTTTTGAGTGTAATATTCATTTATTTGTTTGGGTAATTTTATATCATTTCTCAGAGGTTTAGAGAAATCTCTCAGAGGAATTATGTATTCGATACTAGGCATTTATCAGCTGCTTGCTGTGTGCAGGGTAAGGTGCTAGTTAGATACTGGGCAAATAAATATGAAGAACAGCACAGCAACTTTCCTCAAGGAAGCTACATTTCATTTGGGGGATAATAAATGTACATAAATGATGCAACTTAGAATTTGATAAGGGCAAAGTAAAGATCCAATCATAGTGCCAAAAGAAAATTTAAGGAGGGGGGATCACTTTCTTCTGGGGAGAGGAGGGAAGGCTTCATGAAGGGGATGACATCTGAGCCCAGGCTTTAAAAGAAGAGAAGGATTTCAGCAGAGAGTAGTGGGGAAGGCACTGCAAGTTTGCAGGACGCCCTTTGTGGCTGCAAGGAGGCGGGAGAGTGTAGCATTCTAGCAGGGAACAGCTGGTAAGTGCAGGCTGAAACCTAGCGTGTGAATGTTAAAACAAGAGCACAAATTGGTGCCTGACTGGAGGAAGCCTTAAATACCTAACTGAAGAGTTTCTATCTTGTAGATTATCTGTCAGCAGCAGGGAGCCAGTGGAGCAGGGGAATGCCATGTTCAGAGATCAGACTTGTGCATTGGGAAGACAGGTTTCAAAGTCTGCAGGCAGGGGACCAGGAAGGTATGTGGCTGTTAACGTTTCCAGAGAGAGATAAGCACCTGAACTGAAGTGTAAGTGTTATGAATGGAGGGGACAGACAGATGGAAAAAGATGTTGATAAAGCGGAATTTATATCTGGTAGTCAGTTGAATGTGAAGGGTGGTGGAAAATGAGGGAAAAGGAAGAGTCACAGATTGACTTCAGGACTGTGAGCTTAGGTCATTGAGAGGATGATAGCACTGTCAACCAAAAATAGGGAAGTCAGAAACAGAGGCAGCTTTTTTGGGCAAGACTACAAGTTAAGATTGGCACATGTTGAGCGTGAGGGGATGACAAGGCCCTGAGTTAGAGGTGTCCAGGAAGAATCAGAAATCAAGGGCAGTGTGTGCTATGGTAGAAGGAGCTTTGTGTTTAGAGTCAGAGGACCAGGGTTCAATTCTGGTTTTCTGCTACTTCCATTTAACTACGTGTTCTGCTCCAGAGGCTTTTTGTTGCTTTTATGATCAAGTACAAACTACTCTGGCTCTTAAAGCTTCCTACAGCCTCTTTTCTAGGTTCTAGGCCCCTTTTCCAGGCTGTTATTATTGCTTCCCATCAAACCCTTTATCCTCCAGCCAACCTGGCCCACCTCCTGCTGCCTGTAGCAAACATTCCAACTCAGCACCCTGAACCTTAGCACAGTTAGTTTCTGATGCTGGGCATGTTCTCCTTCTTCATCTCTAACCCTTAAAATCTCGTTTACTTAAAGGCTTAGTGAGTCTGAAACCTGGTTATGAGTGTTAAGACAAACATGGGAAGGTAGATTCAAGTGCCACTTACTTTGAGACCTTTCCCAGTTTCCCCAGTTGTTAGTTCTTCCCTCTCACCCCCTATTGTACTTTGCACTTCCTATATGGTATGTGTTTACTTACCATTGAACTTCAGAGAGTTCTTCAGAGACTCTGAAGAACTTTGGAATTGATTGTGAGATACGGGAGACGGTGGCACAGGATCACTCAGCATGATAGCCTGCATCAAAGAAGACGTTGTGTTAAAGCAGAATTGCAGTAGCTCAAAAGGAACATGAGATGTACAAATCTAGAGACATCTCCACTGCAAATGTTCACATGAACTGTTTGTGCCGACCTTTGATAGACCCTTCTGAGTTCATATTGCTCTGATCAGCCACAGTTGGACACACTGTACCTTGACCTCAACATAGTGATGTCATTTTGGTCTTCTTCAAGCACGAGGGACAACCAACCAACCAACCTAGGAACTATGTGAGAAGGTGTCCATCCATCTAGCCGAATATAAGCTCCTTGAAGATTGGGATTGGTCTAACCTTTGTATTTTGTATTCTTACTACTTAGTGCAATGTCTGGAACATAGTAGGCATTTCATAAATGCTTGCTCCTTCTTTGTGGGATCTTGAGTAACTCATCTGATCTCAGTCTCAGTCTCTTCACCACTACAATAAGAGGGATTAGATGATTTCTAAGGTCTTTTCTGGCTTTAAACCTATGATTTTATGAAATGTGGGATTGTAGTTTATGGGAAAAATTGGGACTAGCTACATAGAATTGAAAGTCATCTGTATAGAGGTAGTAATTGGTGCTGGCAGAGTGATGTTGGGAGAGATAGACAATGAAAAGAGTCAGAATGGTGGGAGGGAAAGAAAAAAGAGAGAAGACATGAAGAGTGGTAAGGTCAGAGCTTTTAAGAATACCTACGCTTGAGGATAGCAGGGAGACAGTGGACCACTGAAGGAGAATGGGAAGGAGCCGTCTCACAAATAGGAGAACCAGAGGAGAATGGTATCATGGAGGCTAAGAGGAAAGATTATTAAGAAGAATATTCTATTTTGACATTTATTTCAATGGAAAAAGATTTCCATAGAAGTCATACTTTCTAAGAACCAAATTTTTTTTTAAAAAATCAGCTGTTCTGATTAATGAAATGCCTCCTGTGTGGTCCATTATATCAAGGCTGTTCCTTCAGCTCTGTTGTACTTCATTCTTCCCCTCCTCACCATCTGGATCAGTGACCTTGTCATGGAGGACTTAAACATTTTATACTTGAAATTCCCAAGTTCCAGATTGGTGGGTGCCTCATGTGTGTCCTGCTTTATCAAACTAACTATTCATAAACTCATAGATATTGGTCTAGAAGGGATCTCCAAGCCATTTAATCCAACTTCCTTGTTTCATAGATGAGGAAACTTAAGTGTAGAGATTCTAAGTCATTTGCCAAGGTCACAGAGGTAAGGAGGGAGTGTCAGAGATGAGATTTGAACCGAGGTCTTCCTAAATTAAAGTATAGCACTCCATCTTCCCTCTTCTCCCTTTTGTTTCCTCTTTTCTTCATCCTTTCCATTATTAATGTTCATAAGTGGAAGATATATTTTCGTACAGAAGTCCAAGAAGAAGCAGCTTGGAAGAATCTGGAGAAAGAGATGGAAAATTATCAAGATCCATCAGTTTTACTCGTGTACCTCTTAGTAGGGTTCCAGAGACAGAGTCACTTAATGGAAGTACATCCAGAATGGTTAGTATGGAGTCTTTCTTTGCCCTGGAATGTTCTCTTTCCTTACCTCCCCCTCTTAGAGCCCTCTGCTCCAAGACTCAGCTTGGGCAACACTGTCTTTCACATGAAGCCTTTGTTAATTCCCCTCAGCTGCTAGGGCACTGTCTCCCAAAACTACCTTGAATTCATTTTGTATATTTTTTTGTGCATACCTACTATATATGTACATGTTGTCTCCCTGATCGAATGTGTGCTCCCTGAGTGTAGGGATTGGTTCATTTATCCTCAGAACTTCATATTGCACTTTTTTTTGCTCCTTTCTAATATGCTTATCATCTGTTATCATGTATTACAGTTATTGGTATGTGTTATACCCACTACTACCATTTAAGTTCCATTTATTAATTTGTTCGTTTGGTAAGATAAATAGATAAAGTATATGTTAAGTGCCTACTGTGAGCCAAGCACTGTGTTTAGTGCAAGCCAAAAGAATGACAGTCCTTGCCCTTTGGGAGTTTACATTCTGAGGAAGACAGTACATAAAAGGGACCTGAAAAGAGGGTGGGGGGGACACACCATGTGGGCAAAGTGGCAGAGTGGTCTGGGGAGATAGGTTAAGAGTGAACATGGTAGGCACATATGTGGCCTTGCATGGAGCTTCCCAGGAAGGCCTCACTACCTGGAGGAGAAGGAAAAGTAGATGCTTAATCCTCCCAGCCCTTCGGTTTTCTGACACCGCTTGTACCTTTCTTTCCATGCTTGCTGTACATGGCTCCCCATCATAACCTATTGTCTAAGTGGTGGAGCTGCCCTCCCACCTAGCACACCTGCCCAGAAATCAGGACAACTGAGGGGCTATCCTTGTGTTTGCAGCCATGTGACCTAAACGGGTCATTTAACCTTTGGGGATGTCATTTTCCTCTTCCTAAAGGAAGGGGTTGGTTTAGATAGATAATTTTCTTTTCCACTCTTAACATTTATGATTCTACATGTAATTTATTACATGAAGAGATTAGAGAAAACTAGAATTAGTGTTTATTGTTCCCAGCTCTGTCATTGATATGCTGAGTAACTCTACTAAGTTTTAAAATTCCTTAATGTCATTTATAATGTGGGGATGACTTATGGAGATCGTTTATGAAGATTCATGAGCCAATTTTTAAAAAATCATAAGTTCTTAAGTAAATGACCCTTTTGTTATATTTTATCATTATTGTTCTTCATTTCATAATAATATTCCCAGTAGGAGTCCTGTGTTATGGTGGATAAGTTCTGGGTGAGAATTGAGAAGACTTGTTTTTAAATTCTGCCTCTGACCCTTGTTAGCTGTGTTACCTCCTGAGCGAGTCCTTTAACTACCATGTGTCTCAGGCAGCTACCCCATCCCCTGAGCTGTGGGTAGAATAGTGCAGTGAAAAGAGAGCCAGGTTTGGTGTCATAGGACATGGATTAGAGTCTTGCTTGGCCATTTTCTGTCTGTCTGCCCTTGGACAAGTCACTTAACCTTTATGGACCTCAGTTACCTTATCTGTAAAATGAGGGAGTTGGACTGGATAACTGGATGACACTAGAGTGTCTTCCAGATCAAACAAGATAAAAATGTAAAGTGTTTTGTAAGCCTTAAAACACCATGTAAATTTTAATTAGTAGTAGTAATATAAATCATAATCTTACTATGATAGTGTTGTTGTTGGAGAGCATTCCCACAGTGGGAGTCTCATTCTGACAAAATGACTGATCACAGAATCTACAAACTAGAAAGGAACTTAGAGTTTATCTAGCCCAACCCATGCCAGCACTTAGCACAGTGCATGGCACATAGTAGGCACTTAATGTTTATTGATTGATTGATACTAGAACAAGAATTGCTTCTAAAATGTCCCCATCAAATTTTGATCAGTAATTCTTACTTGCCAGATAACCTGAAAATTACTAATATATTTCAAATAACAGGACTATTCCAACAAATCTTTATTTTCAGACTCCAAGACTACTACTTGATACAGTACTTATTAAGAGCTTAGGTTCTTACTTTAACAAGTATTCAAGTGTATTGAAACCCATTAATAAGTCTGTCTTCCCTTTTTTTGTCTCTGAATGGTAGCATGACAGAGTTGATAGAGAGCTGGCCTTGAAATCAGGAAGACCTCTTGCTGACTCTGGAACCTTGGTCAACAAGGTACTGAACCTCTCCCTGTCCCTGGCCATTCTCTTGGAATGTCAGCTGCAGGTCTGCATTTGTCGAGGGCACTGTCTCCTTTGGTTGAAGTTCTCCTCCACCAAAGAAGTCGAAGGCCTAGATTTAGTTCCTTCTCCATTGCATACAAGTTGTTAACGTGCATTAGAAACCATTTCGTTTTATATGGACAGCTTAGTAGTGAGAATCCAGAGCTGGGAAGGATGTTAGAAATTATCTCTTTCAGGACCCTCATTTTATGGATGAGGAAAGTAAGGTGCGTCAAGGTTAAATGACTTGCCCAAGGTTACACTTGTGGAAGAGGTAGCAGTCAGACTCAGTTTTTTCAATTGCAAATTGAGTACTCTTTGCTCAGAAAATTCAAAATCAATGGTTGTGCATTTTTTTCATTAATAACACTTTAAAAGAGATAGGCTGATCCTTCAGATAAGAATGTATTTGCTCCCATTTATTGTCTCGGAGGACTGTAGACAAGCATATACTTTGCAGGTTAGTTTACTTCATTTTTTGTGCACTGATATTTGGTAATATCAGAAGGTGATCCTCACACTTCACATAGGCTGTTAAATTTTCCCCTCCCACTCCACAACAGATTATTGTGTTTGAAACGCTGTTAAAAGACTTTAATATGGAAAATAAATGACTTATTATGTTTTTGTTTTTAACATTTAGTTGTTCAATCTTCCTTTTAGGGATTACGGAAAGAGGATTCCCCAAGTCCCAAATTAGACATGAAGAGCCCTAATAAGTCTCCACCCAAGGCCCTGGACCTGAACAAGAATGAATACTTTTCTCTAGATAAAAGCAGCACTTCAGATTCTATTGATGAAGGTAAGAAATATTTTAAATTTAAATAAAATTTCATCTACATCTTTGAATATTTACCTTTGCTGTGCATGACTACATATTGAAAGGATGGAAGGTTTAAAGTTAGGCCCATAAAGAATCAACCATATAGGAAAATGAGAGTAGAAAATGATTAAAGAGAGATTTAGTGAGGAGAGTTCTCTGCCCTTTTGATTCTAACTCCATTTCATTTTCATGACTACTTCTTCTTACATGTACTGAGGGAAACAGAAATATATATTTCAAATTATGATTATAGGAATGGAGAAGCTATCCTCAAGTTATTTTCCTACCACCTCAATGGGGTTGTAGGATAGTTTGAGAAATATTTACTCATGAATTTCAAAACTTCTCTCAGCTTTTCCATTTTAAAGCTTTAGGACAGTCTTGGAAATATCAGTGCATGAGTAAAGCAGCAAAAATTTATTAAATGCCTTCTATGGGCAAAGCAATTAGGGAAATATTCATTAAGTACCTACCACATGCACACCTTGAACCTAGATCTTCCTGGCTTCAAGTCCTATTCTCTGTCCACCATTCCATGCTGCTTCTCGGTGCTTATGCTAGGTAACTGTCTTAAAATTAATCTATAGAGAAAATGTTGACTTGCCTTGGTAGAGGGACTTTCCTCGCCCAGTAGTTCCCTGTATTGCTGAAGTTACAGGTATCCTGTCGAAGGGTAGGGGACAGAAACTAGGCTTGAGATGTCATTGCTTGGACAAGGCAACTCTCTCTACCTCTATGGGCTGACCCTATTTCTGATGCTTAAAACACTGAGAAGATAAGGGATTTGTCCAGGATTTGAAGCCAGCTCCCTATCCACTAGGCTTCACTGCCTCTTGGGGATATAAAAACCATAAAAAAAAAAAACCACCATCTTCAAGGAGACATTCTTCCAGAGGTGGACATTATAAGAAGAGTCAAAATAACTAGAAGAGAGTTTAAGGAGGGAGAAAAAAATAATGACGAGGAGAAGAGGAGGAGAAGTGGATTTCTTCAGAAAAGAATGCAATGAAGAAACAGAAGGTACCAGTACAGATGTTTGTTTTTTTTTTAAATTGACTTCCAGAGTACAGAGGGTCAACACAGATTCAGCCCAGTCTTCAATGCCTCTTCCTGTATAATGGAAGTAGTAAAACCCTGGACTTGGAGTAAAGTTCAAATTCTATCTCAGATACATCCTGACTGTGTGTTCCTGGGCAAGTCCCTTAACTTTTCTATGTCTTGGTTTTTCATCTCCAAAGTGAGGGGGTTGGACTTCATGAGTCTAAGTTTCTTCCAGTTCTAAATCTATTACTTTATGATCTTATGTTCAAACTCTTAGCTTTGAGGTACTTCAGAATCTCAAATTGCCTTTAAAATAAAGATGTTCTTCAGCGTAGTTTCAGGGTAACATTCATTTTACTGTATGCTAATTCTTTGAAAATTGTTCATTCATGTTTTAGAAGACTCCCCTTACTTAATTAGAATATTTAGTTAACTAAAATATACTATTCCTAGATGGACCATCTTAGATAAATGGGAATTTACTATATTCATTTGATGTCCCCTTTCCAATTGTGAAGTAATTTCTTTTAAAAAAATGCTTTTAGAATTAGTAAATAGAGGTGGTGTATAGCAACAGATTTGAGCCACAGGAATTAGGAGGGTGTTGTACTTGTCATTCCTGTGGTTGACTTTGTTGGACTTCAAGATTGACTATTTGTTGGGGCAGCTAGGTGGTGCAGTGGATAGAGCACTGGCCCTGAAGTCAGGAAGACCTGAGTTCAAATCTGGCCTCAGACCAAACACTTCACACTCACTAGCTGTGTGACTCTGGGCAAGTCACTTAACCCCAACTGCCTAATTAAAAAAATAATAATAATTAAAAGAAAACAAGAATGACTGAACAAGTAAGTTATAAAAAAAAGATTGGCTGTTTGTATAGATCTGAAATCATCCTTCATTTTAATAAAGAAGTTTATGCACACAGAAGTAAAAATACAACACTTCTTGAAGATCAGTCAGAATTTTTGAAGAAAAATGATACTGAATTATTCTGTGAAAGGTAAATGATTAAAGTGGTTTATAGGTAAGGATAATTTGAAAAAGATCATATCACATCGATAGTTAGAATCCTCATAAGCATGGCTTTCATTTATGAGTCCGTATGCAAGAGGGCATGAACTAGTTACTTATACTAGTTAGTACAATGCCAAAACTAAAGTTATGCCTCCAAATAGATCTACTGTGGCACCCAGTGGCCAAACAGGTACGTGACAACAAAATAAAGGATTTTTTGGCCTTATTTCCCAGGCCTTGTCTTTGCAAGAGTAACTGGTTATTAAGAAGTGGCCTCGTGATTCAGGCTTGTGTAAGTGGATAGTAACATGACATATTGGGAAACAAACAGAAATCTATGATCAGTTTGGTGCAGACCCAGAATTTAAGAAAGAACAGTGGTCAGATGGGTTTGTGTATAGCCACTCGTTGGTTACCTTTTCTTGCTTCCTACTGTCACTTCATAGAACATTCCCTTATAAAGTGGCAAGAAAATAAAACTGATATCTGACCATCAGCATGACATAATGGAAATAGCACTGCGTGTATTGAAAAGGTCTGAGTTTAAAAAATCCCACCTGGTAAAATGAGAGGATTGGAGTAGATGAATTCTCTGGTCCCTTCCAGCTCTAGATCCCTTGTTGACTATTTCCATTATTGGAAGATGTTATAATTATGATGAAGTAATTTGATACATACAGGTCAAATTTGTCAGTTATGGCCATAGCTCAATTTCTAGGAGACTTGGAATGAGATGATGTGTGTAGATGAAATAAGGTGGGTGGTCAAATCACTAATCAAAGTAGGTTGTTGTTGTTTTTTTTAATCTTAACGACCATCCTTTTAACCAACCATTGTATAATAGGGATAGGACCGAGGAATAACCTGAGTGAATAAGAAAAAAAATGAGGTGTTTCTTTTTTCTCTTCTACATGGGTTTCCCCCCACTCCTACCCCCTGCTTTAGTCTTAGTGGGAAAGACTCTGAGAAATCTGGACCTGGATATTTTCTGTGAGCAAGCCCCCATCTTTCCTGAGTTAAATCAGCAAAATAGTTTAGTACCTACCATGTGGAAGAAGGGCCTTGTTATGAGCCATCTGTGTTTTTTCTGAAAGAGATACAGAGATTCCAGCTGTTAATAAACTATGAGGTATTTTGTATTTTGTGTACTATTGTATTTCCTGTCCATGCAGCATTGGTAATCTATAAAGCAAGTGATTGGACTTCTGGTCAATCAGTAGTGGGCTGGGGATAGCGTCTTCCCCTGCCTGGTGCCACCTGATCAGTTACTGGGAGAAGAATGACCTTTTCCTGGAGTTGAGAGCATCTGGGGAAAATCTGTAAGTCTTCTGGTAAATCAGGGAGTTGGCAAGTGTGATAGAAGCCCAAATGTGCAAGAAAAGCGTTGGCCCAATTTTAAGGAACATAATATGTCTTCTCTGCTGGCCCTGGCTTTGTTCCCTTCTCATGGGCAACTGATTGCCAGGATTGTCTGCTTTTCCCTCCTCTGTATTATAAGCTGTTGCTGGGGGAATATCTGCCATAAGAGGCAGAGCTTAGGGTGTGAGACTTGACAAACTGGCTTCGGGAATGCTGTCCAAAGCCATGCTAGGATGTAAAAGCAAAAAGTAAAATCAAGAGATGAAGCTGAGCCTTGAGTTAGCAGCACAATTGGGTTCAGAAGTAAGAGTCACTTGGTCACCAGTTTAGAATCAGGAATGCAGAGAATGGGCCTATGTGTCTAAAGGCGTACTTGGCAGGTAGCTAAAATATGGGCTTCATTTCCATAGGAAAGTTTTCCTGGCTCTATTTCTACCACTGCCATTTCAGGTTTTATCTGCTCACTTCTTTAGAAGAAAAGTGGAAATAGGTGAGGATCCAGGCATGTGGGTGAGCAGAGTTTTATATTGTCGGTTTAATATATTGCAACCACAGTAATGATAATAATAATTGGATGGGAGATTTTAAAGCAGTAACACCATGAAATTTTTAATGAGTAATCCAATGCAGAAATCTTTTATAGCCCTATTGCCTTCCTTTAAATTACATAGCAAAGTCATTTTCTTCCCTTCTTAATTGCAAAGTAACACAGTCACTTCTCTGCAAATCAGTCATAACAAAGTCTTATCTAATAATTAAATCTAGAAGAGAACATATTTAATACTTAAAGTATTGGAAATAATTGTATGAAATCATATTGAAATAATTATATGAAAAATGCATCTTTGTTGTACAGCCTTCTTTTTTGTGTATCCTTCTTTAAATATAAACAGAGAACTTTTATTTTACCTTTAGGATTCTGCTTTCAAAGCCCCAAATAAACGAAAACGTCCAATGACTTCTAATCATTTTGAGAAATTTTACTAACCCCCCAAAATAAATGTGTTTATTTCAAATTGCACATGTCTATATAGAAGGAACATTTCTTTTCAGTCTGGAATTACAGTGAAGAGTGCATGCTCCAGTGAAATATCTTTGAGGAGGTAAGGCAGATGAATGTCTAGCTGAAAAATAGTTTACGTAGTGCTTATTTTTTTCTTCTTGTTCCAACACTATTCATTTTTATTACCTATGATATAGGGACAAAGCACTAGCCTTTAAAAAGCAGCTGTTAGGGATGAACAGAAAAGATCCAATATTCAGAAATTTAGAGCCCATGAGGGAAAATAATTTACAGAAAAAGATGGAAATCTTAAAGAAAATGAGAATTATATACAGTACTAGATGATTTTTCATGTGTCCTTCATAGATTGATCAAAATCACTTTTGGTTTAGGCACACAAACATGCTTTGATAACTTCACTTGTTCATAAAATTATTGGTTTTGCCATGTATAATTTAAGATAGCTTATTCAGATAGTAATTTGAATTTTATTGAGTTTACTCTTACACGTTCAAAATTTGTCTTATAAATGGAGCTACAAGCTGGTAAACTTTAAGGAATC